GCGATTGTTGTCGTTAAGCAACTTTCGCAAGGGTCGGTCACGGGATGGGTGACCAAAAAATTATTATCTCGAGCAACTTCGTGCTTCGGAAGGCACATTAAGCCGTTGGTCTCGGCTGCATTTGTAGTTGTTAATACCCGTCAATCCGCATTGGGCCAGCGTGGAGGGTTATGGCCCAAGCTCCTTAACCAACCATAAGGAAGGCCTGAGCCCCTGCAGTGGGGACGAAATAAAGGGCTGATGGTATAGTATCTAAAACCTACTAACAAAACTTTTCAATCTTTAGACCTTCTTTGATGTCTTAGAGAAAAAGAGGGACAAATACATTCCTTCGCGACCCACTCGTGGGTCCATAGTTTAGGAAACACTGATTTAAAGTATATTACCGGGCTATATCTTATGAACCAAAGGAAATGAACATTACAAATTTTCACAGACTACAAATATGATGTGGTAGTAAAACGAAACCGTTGGAAAGCGTCAGCACTTCGATGGCATTTTAATGTGTCGCAGTAAAAAAAATAATAACTTTACATTGTTCCCCGATTATGTTATTAGATGTTATGGCATGAAGTAAAAAATGAATAAAATTACCCTTATCATCTGTCAATTGTTTATCGATGCGACGACGACGTTGCCGCTGCTTACCGCCCGCCGGCCGATAAACAGGTGCGATGACGTCATCGTTCCATTCTCGGAATCACGCTGACGCAACTGCATGGGGAAACCTTTACTAGTTTAAAACTGTACGTCGCTCTTGGTTCATAACTCGCCACTACATCGTCAATCTGATAGAGACTTATGACAAAAATTGTACGAGGGTCAAACTGAAAGTTCTTAGAAAATCAAAAACTGATTACATTAGCCAGTTATTAGTTTTATTATATCTTTTCAAAATATTGTCCATTCACGTCAATACACCGCTGCATGCGATGGAACCACTGGGAAAAGCACTTTGCCCACTCGTCCTTAGGGGTCTCTTCAATGGCATCGCGATACGCAGCCACCGCTTCTTCAGCATTCATAAACCGCTTTCCTTTAAGTTTTTCTTTAATTTTTGGAAATAAATAAAAATCACAAGGCGCGAGGTCGGGGCTATACGGCGGGTGACCCAGTAATTCAACGTTTGATGTCGCCAAATAGTCGATCGTTCGCTTGGCGGTGTGCGACGAGGCGTTGTCGTGGTGAAGGAGGATCCTACTGCGAGGTCGTTTCTCTCGAACTTTTTCCAAGACAAGTGGCAAACAATTGGTAGTGTACCATTCTGCAGAAACTGTTTTTTGATCCTCTAACACAATTGTTGCAAAATGACCTATCCTTCCAAAGAACGAGGCCACCATTTTTTTTCCCGCACTTCGATCTCTCTTCACTTTAGTTGGCAACTCCTCGAAAGGAAACACCCACTGAGCAGATTGTCTTTTGGTTTTAGGATCATAACAGTAAATCCAGCTTTCGTCACCTGTTAGTATGTCGAACACAGCATTTGAGTCACCTCCGTTAAATCTTTCAATCATTTTACGACACCAATCCACACGATGGAGTTTTTGAGCCTCAGTCAAATTATGAGGTATCCACCGGGCGCAAAGCTTCCTGACCGCTAAATGTTCGTGGAGGATTTTGTGCACTTGACCCATACCGATGCCTAAGCTTGTCCGAATCTGTTGATAGGTCACTCTTTTGTCAGTCTCTATCATACGCCGCACAACACAGATGTTATCTTCAGTCGTCGCCGTAGAAGGCCGTCCTTCACGTAAATCATCAGTGAGATTAGTGCGACCACGTTTAAACTCATTAAACCAGTTGTAAACAGTCGCACGAGATGGGGCTTCATCGTGAAAGGCCAATCGTAGTCTATCATAACTTTCTTGTTGACTTAAATGACATCGAAAGTCATAAAAAATCATTGCACGAAAATTTTCTCGTGTTAGATTCATGATGACGTGACACAGACAATTTTCAATTTGCCGCCAAATCGTAAAACAAATGACAAATGAATGAAATATATACTCAGTAATATTGGCAAAGAGTTATATTTTCAAATTTTAGAATTATTTTTTTATTATATTGTTTATAAGTGGCCAGTTCTAAGAACTTTCAGTTTGACCCTCGTATCATCTGTTTAATATGTGATCCATTTCAATCTGGCATCAAGCGACATCAATCTAAGGTCATGGAATGATTTGATTGCTGTTTAATTTTCTGATGGTCACAATAGAAGCTTATTAGTAAGCAGTAAGAAGCGACATAACAGCAGATACCTTTGATCGACTTGAGTGACAATTCTTTCTAATAACCCCACAAGCGATCTGGATAAAGAACCAGCAGTTAAATGCGTGAGTCACTTTGTAGCCGAGGACTTTAACCCTTTAACAAAAATCTTAATATTTCTTTACATAAGTGCACAGCTGGGTATAGGTATAGGTGCCCTATAACCATTGCGATAACGAACTTCTCAAAAATAAATTAGTTTGAGTTCCTATTCGTTAGTTAGAGCCTATGCACACTACGTTTTTTAAACGCGCCGTCGATGCGTATTTGTAACAATACAAACGAGAAACGCACACGAGTCTGACGTAGCCTGTACAAACTGCGACACATAACACAGATGTTATCTTCAGTCGTCGCCGTAGAAGGCCGTCCTTCACGTAAATCATCAGTGAGATTAGTGCGACCACGTTTAAACTCATTAAACCAGTTAGTAATAATAACACGAATATGAAAAAAAAACTACATATTAAATACTAACTGTTTTCCCACGACTTTGTCCGCGTAAATTATAGCCTATCGTATAGTGAGGTGACATAGGCGTTGAGCCTGAGCCTACGGGAAGATACGTCATACGCACATGCGTATTTTTAAAAAATCCGTCCAGTTGTTTCCTAGGCTATTTAATACAAACCAACAATCAAAGCCTTCGTCTTTATAACAATAATATAGAAAACAAATTCCTCCTGCTGTGTTTGTGTCCAATCTGCATTGGTAAATAAAAAAAAAAATCGCTTAATTAATTTTGCTGCGGCATTCATTTTTGGACATAGTAATTTATTTGTAAGATTTAATTGTGTAACTCGGTATACTCATGTTTGAGTTGGCTTAAGTACGACGCGGATAGTTGCCAAAAAATATCAAAGTGATTATCGATTTAATTTAATGTAAATTACACCCATACGAAGCCGGGACGATTCGCTACTTTTACGTGTGGTGGTTTTTCACATTTTGACTTCTTTTTTTTATGAATGTATGCGCCATGTATACTTTTTTTTGTATTGTATTGAATGTATACGTTAACTTAATGTATACAGTATACAAATTATAATACAATAATATGAGTAAGTTTGCGTCTGTTATCTTTGGCATTTACAGAATTAAATAATAAACAACAAAATGCAAAACCGCTTGGTGCGAAATGGTCAGTTTACACTACATTTATCATAATGTTTTGATTGTGCAGACTGTTTGTACAGTTTTACAGAACGATCACTTGCATGAACCAAAAAATTGGCGCCAATTTACAGTCAAATAACTACGACAAATCCTTGTCTTGTTGACCGGCCATAACTAAATATTGATGTCACCACCCGGAGACTAGACAGTGACGTCGCGCACCAGATTTTTTTTTCGCCCAAGGAAGTAGCGAATGCGGTATGGGATGAGATCCAAGCGACTCGACTGTTTCATAACAGCTAAAGGCATGCCAAGGTTTCCGAAGTCATTAGTTAAAACCCAGAACTGAGTTTAACTGCGGTTTGCGGTGATAAATTAATGGTTTTCGATTTAGGTGGATACATAAAGCAAATCGATAATATCAGATTGATTATTTACAAAACATACAAACCTGACAAACTTCATAATTAAAAAATAAGATAAATACCATCGTGTACCTTGGGCGAGAGCGAGTTTATGAAAGTTTATTGATGGGATGGAAAATTTTGTAAGAAATAATAGTTAAGTAATGTTATATGAAAATTGACCAATCCACAAAATCTATACATAATAATGGTTTTGAAATTTATGGTTTGTGCGGAACCCTCTGCACGCGACTTCATTTCGCTAGTGGCTGATTTTTTATCATGACAAATTAATGTATGAGTCACTTTATAACTGAGGCTTGATATTGAACGATTTTACAACAACAGTAATTGTTTTCATATAATTAATGAGCATTATACACCGTGAATTTTTAATTGCGAGAAAATTAATTCACATGTTCATACGTCGATTTATTACATATTTAGTGAATAATATTTTGTATGTGAAAATGAAAAGTACCTAGGTAATACTAACTACGACAATTGCATGCACTTGTTGTTATTAATAACTGATTTTATGTACTATCACGGTAAAAATATTACAATTAAAAAACAAAAAAAATACCATGAAGATGCTTTAAGTGTATGGATATAATTCAATTACAATTTTTAAGGCCTTAGAACCATTTTATTTCAAATAAGCTGCCCGAATGCGATTAAGTGATGTAAATTAACATATCAAGTAATCAAAAACTGGCAAATTTACTAATTTGGCTGTAGTCACCCGATGTGCTACTGTACATATTGATACAGTTAATAGCACACCAGGATATACAAATCTGTCAAATATTTCCACTTAATTTAAGATTTTTATGCATTAAAGGTAGAGCGTAAAATCAACTGGGGAAATTAGTAATATATTTAATTAGTGCGGGCTGCGTACAGATGAGGTTTTTTTTGTCGGAACACAAAATATACGTGGTGTATTATAAATATTTGAAATTTTAGACTCCAAGTGATTCGCACGCCGGTTTCAAAGTGTCGCCATCTCTGAGGTCCCGGGTTCGATTCCCGGTCGGGTCAATGTAGAAAATGAACTTTTCTATATTGACTCGGGTCTGGGTGTTGTGGTACCTTCGTTGTCTCAGATACTCCATAATACGGGGGCTTTAGCTACTCATCTTGGAATCTGAGCAATGTATGTGATGTTGTTAAATATTTATTTATTTCGAAATTCCGCTTATTCTATAGGAGCACCATCTCCAGAGGGCGATATCAGGCACGGGGCTCATCATACCAACGCCGGAGGTGTGCGAGGTCAGCGACCTCGAGTTCTACGAGCGATGTTATCCGCCCGACTACAAAATGCCCAAACAACACATACACATGCAGCGTGAGTACTGTATACTTGTATGTTTTTAAAATTTTCTAATGTAATGTCACGGATATTTCTTTTCCAGTATCAAGAAATGCCTATCTATCCATCAAAGATTAGATTTTTTTAGTGAAAATATCAATACCATCTATTAGAACACAATGATAACGTAACCTTGATGTTGCAACTTAATACTGGGTAGTCGTTATGTATTATTTTATTTTAAATGAGTAATTGACTAAACTTGAATAGATCAAATAGTATTAGATTGTGATGTTGTATCGTTTGTACGATAAGAGACGTCGCCGGTATGTCTACTGCTACTCTTGCAGTTTCACGGACATTGCTCAATAGATTTGTAGAGCGCTTTCTCTGCCCACGCCCGCCCAAGTCCTTGTGTTTTAAGCTTCGTGCCAAGGTTTAGCTAAGGCAAGCTTGCCAGGAAGTAGCCTATATGTATACTAAGTTTGCTACTTATTAGATGTTAGGATTTTACAGATTATAGTTATACGAATTAGAAAAGATAACATCAACCAATTAGGGAGTACATATCTGAAAACGGAATTTCATACAATTTCAAAACGCCCTTATTACAAAGGTTCTCCGATGGGTATTGTTACCTTTACTATAATGCCCGTCGCTTACCCTAATTTACACAAAAATATTTTAATAAAATTTAAGACCATTACAAAATTATCCCAGATTTTGTCATATAAAAAAATTAAACATGTTTTATATTTGTTTAATAACTAATGGTAATGTTTGTTTTTAGTTACACGTAATTTTGCTTTAAACGCTGAATATGTTTTCGTAAACTTTGGGATGATGTTGTTATAGTAGGAAGTTTCAGAAATTCGTTAAGAGATTAAATATTTCGAAGTTTATTAAACGGATTAAAAGCTAGAATATTTTAAGTAAAATGGCTCGACTCATTCAATATAACATGGCTTTGACAGTTTGCAGGTGATTGTCGTCTTTATATTACAAAATAAATAAAAACTATCTAATAAAAAAATATTAAATAGGTATGTTATTTAACGGGCGAAGATTCTTCATTTCTGTTCAAGTGCAAACACTGCGTAAACACTAGAAAGTATTCAGATAAAGAGCGCACGTTTCAGGGGTCTACTTTCTCATTTTGACTACTTCTCTAGAAACCTACTTCGCAAATTTCCTGAAAAACACCAGCTTCTCAAATCAAAAACTTATTCATTGCATTACGCAGGCAAGGAGCAATTTTAATTGGGGTTTGATTTAAATTAACTTTATATTGTACAATAGAATTGCAAGCGATGCGTGGTTAGCGGACGGCCCAAGATGACCTACTTATTTTTTTTTTTTTGTGTATTTTGATATGGGTATCAATTGAAAGAGTTTGTTAAGAAAAATAAGAAAATGGTTTCATTCTAAATCTAATATGGCGGACCAATAAGCACTCTTATAATATAACCTTCAAAAGAAAGGGTTCGCTGAGAGGATTGCGATTTTAATTTATGTATAAAATATGTCGCTATTTATGAATAGGCCTATATGTTAATCCAGACACAGAATTAACTATATGTATACTAAATTCCATCAAAATTCGTTAAAGGATAACAAACATACATAACTCCGTCTTTGACGTTCGTATTTATAATATTAGTAGTGAAAGGCAATTATTTAAATTAAATGTCTTTATTTTGGATATTAAATTATTTATTTTTTTTAATTATAATAGTACAGAAATATTTTTAAATTAAAGTGATCGGACCGAGATTTGATATGTTGTTTTTCATTTTTTCCTTACTTAAAGCATATTTGAACTCTTTTTACAATGGTAGGCAATGATATTCCATTTAGGTAAATTATAATTAAAAACCTTCGCAGACTGTCTATTTTTTAGCATAGAAAAATAGGCAGTCTGCGAAGGATATCAATTGAGAAGTAGACGGAATGCGAAATATGCGAATTGCTAAGTGGGCTAGTAGCGAATCAGTTGCCACGAAAAGTGGTCAAAATGAGAAATAGACCGTTTGATAAATAGACCCCAGGGGTATAGCGAGAAAAAGTTGCTGAGTATGTCCAGAGAATATTTATTTTACTTGGAAAAATTAATAACAAAATTAGTATTTACTATATTGCTTACTTTTATATCCTTCTTTATTTATTTATGGTATTATATACTCGTATTATGGTGTGGCGTTTTGGTTAACCGTTAAATCATCGTTAAATATGTGTATCCACTCTATAGCCGAGACGTGACAAAACCGATTTTACAGTAATCGTGATGGTCTATCTACTTATCGAGTAATAATTTAAAATATTTTAGGTGTTTTTGCCCGCTTAAAACTTTGTGTGCATTATCTGATTAATGTATGTGTATCTGTATTAATCTTCAATAATGTCTCGTAAAACAATAATGTTATATTGCCATGACATGGTAATGATGTTAGCCTGATTCCATAAGAATATTGTGCCCACAAGCTGTAGTGTCAGTGTCGTAATGTAATAGAGTGACGTCATCTAGCATTGATGCCGTAAGAGCTAAAAATGTACAGACACACCTTCAAAATAACAATTTCTTGACTCATCGACTATAAACTCGATATTGCGGGCTGTTTCCATGAAATATAATTTTGCTACTTTTTGTGCGTTATTTTGTTATCTGTTGGGCCAGTATTGCTATTTCCTCATTCATATGCTATTTCCTCAAAAATCTACGTCGCCCACAACAATGCAACAGCTTAGTGGTTAAATAATAAAAAAAAACGACTTCAAAAGGTAATAAAACGAATTATTATTTGTTTTTTCCTGAGGTGCGACAACGTTGTACAAAGCAAAGCTATGAATAGTAACAGTACTAAAACAACAACAAAAAAAAGTTTCTTCTTATCAGGCAGTAATCATTCATATAGGGAAAGGGTATGTATGGGACATACCCTTTTTAATATGGCGAAAATTCTAAGGCTTTAAATTAATGTGCTCAACATTATAGAATAAAAGCGTGACCATAATATTTGTGTTGGTTTAAAAGAATTCACTAGCGGGCAAATCTGTTGGCGTGCCTGTCGGACTTCGCTACTATGGACCTGTGTAATGGCAAAATACACTGGCAAATGTACACACACCTGTAGTAGCGAGGCACGTAGAGGTACGACGGGCATGTCTGCTGACTTGCCTCAAGAATGTACTAACGACTATGTATTTTGTACTGAACCACTAATAAACATGTAAACAGTGGATTAAAACATTCATGATAAATATAACAGAGATGATAGATAAAGGCTAAGGAAACGCAAACATGTTTTACTTAATAGAAACAATTACTCGGGCCGTATGAAAAAAAAAATTTTGCCGTATTAATTTTTACGAGAAACAATTAACAATATTTTTTTTATTTATTACTTCAATTGAAGAAATGCATATTTGTCAGTTAACTTTTTCGGATGCTCTTCTATTTTATTTATGTCTACGTCCGTTCTCGGTCAAGCGCAATCCGAACTGCAAACGCAATCAACATTCCTCCATCCACAATTCATATTTATAACTCGCTAAATTCATATTTATAACAGTTTATCGTCCGACCTGAGTATTGTCAATAAGTATTTAAGTCAACGTTATTTAATAAATAGTTTTATTACAACTCGTGAAAATTGCTTTAACTAGGAGCGGGAATTCGGAATATTTCTATTTACCGAAGTCGCGTTATTTATTACTCGAATAGTAATTTGGCGATGTCGTAATAATATTGTGTTATTAAAAAGCAATTAAACTTTTAACAGCCCTATCGAAACTTGGAAATCGTGGATAGTATTAAATATACTTACGCCGATAGAAACCGAATGGCCGATTGGTATTGCACCGATTTCAATGATACCATCTCTGAAATTCCTAGTTCGATTCCCAGTTGGCTCAGTGTAGACTATGAACTTTTCCATATTGTTTCGTACCTAGGTGTTGTGATACTTCGTTGTTTTAATTTCGATAATACAAGAGCTTAGCTACCTAGTTTGGAATGAATTTGATGTAGTAAAAAAATACATAAGTCTTCTTTCGAAGTATATTATGTATAATAATAGTATATTAGTTATAGGTGCATTAAAGTAAATCCTACGTAGTAACTAAAAAGACGTAAAAAAATTACACCTACCGCCAGAAGTGAAAAATAGTATTTTTCTAAAATTAATCTCCTTTTATTATTTATAAATTCGTGACACTTCTAAATTCGGCGGTTCATGTTAATAACCTACACAAAATTTTGGGCCCCACTTTCGTGCCTCGTATATCCAGTCATAAGACGCTACATTTGCGTGACCCGATAGCACAGAATGCATCCTTGGAAGCCTAAGGCAAATCATATTGACTTCACAGTCCACATGTGTGTTACCAAGAAGTGTTAATTCGAAACAGACCTCGTTATTGTTTACAACTGGTGCACTGAATGCTACCTTTGATCAGCCCCGGCTGCGTCCTGTTAGCAGACTTTATGGACAGTGAGAAACTGACCAACGTACAGTTTCTTTATGAAGGCGTCTAAACCAAAACCACTATTTTCAAATTTATTCTAAAGTAAGTAATGCATTAAAGAGCTCGGGTGGCGTAGTGGCGCATTATGCCATATTGTAGGACATTTTTATTAGAATCCTATACATGCTTTTTTATACACGCTATTAAGTTACCCGTGGAAATACTACTATAGCTTACTTCCTTTATTTCCTTCTGGAATTATAAAAAAATCAAATTCTTTATAATTCCAGATAATGTTCACTTAGAGTCAAATTGCCCATACAAACTAAACAATTCATTTGCGACTCATTTTGTAGCCGAGGTATGTTAATAAACTTTACTGCAATATTTATAATAATAGAGATTTAGGTCCAAAAAATGTTAAAAATAATTCAAATAGGTTGGACGGTCTATTTCGTTCAAAACGCCGTCATTATTCTTTGTCCCTATTTATCTTTAGGATAATTTATATTAATTTTGTGCGCACATGAATGAGTCAGTTTCTTGTTATTTCCTACAAGTTTTATTTTGAT